CAGTCCTTTTCAAGTCTTAATTATGTAGAGCAACATTCACTTAATATTAAATAAATTCTATATCTGCTCTAATATAACCGTCTGTCTTTTAAGCTGTCTGAATATAATCAGAGATTATTTAATATTAAGTGGACGTTGCTCTACATAATTTAGACTTGAAAAGGAATGCCTTAAGTGCAGTCGAAACGTTGTCAACTGAATAAAAGACTGAACAGTAAGCCCTTGGAGTTTATTAATTCTTCGTATCATTTTCACTGTTCTTGGAGTCCTCTTATTAAAAATTAATTTTTATTTTTAATGTAAAGTTCGATTTGACCCCTTCATTATTTCGATAAAATTAATAACTATCAGTTAATGTTACAACTTATAATGATTATTCAAATTTCAGTGTGGTTTATTTTAATCATGTTTGAAAGTTAGCTTGATTTATAAACTGACTTCGAGATTGCTATATGTTGAGCTTCAAGTTTAAAAACTTTTCTAATATCTTGAATATTTTTTAGAGGGTAAAGTAGTAAGGACAGTTCCTTGGAGCTTTGGAATATACACCTAGTTGAGACTCTCAAACTGTAATTCTCTTGAAAAAAACAAAACTTAAGCCAAGTTACTCAAACTGAGTAAAGTATGTTTCGAAATGAATCATTAAAATTAATGGCTTAGTAAATATACATTGTACATGTTCACATGATATCGTTCAAGACAAAATTTATAAAATTTTTAATTACTAAAATTCTACAATCGCAGTTTGTACAAAATTAAACTTCTCTCTATTCAATGAAAGAAAGTCATGCTACCAATTTTGTTCAGCTTTATTTCAATAAAGGTTCATTCGCAAACTCTGTCAGCAGTTAAAGCTAATAGTATTGATACATTGCTAGTCAGCTGTATAAATCCGCTCACAGTTTAGTATTGAGGTATACTTAAATTTCCAACGTTAAAATAACCATCAATGGAAAATTGAGAAAACGAAGATACCAAGTTACCAACGACAATGTTTAGTGAAATAAGTACCTATTTGTAAAAAATATAAATTATTTATATTTATAATTATCATTATAATTATATTTCGAAGTTCCTTGCTACAACGTATGTTTTTATGTCTGTTTTTTTTCACTTTTCTTCTGTTATCAATACCCTATCGATAAGTTCGAGAGTTTAAACAGTTCTGAAAATACTGAATGTATATTTTCTGGACGTTTTTATTTACAACTGAACCACCTATTAAATTACAGTTTAATTTAAAGTTTATACTAATTCTTCAACAGTTTACACTTCTATTGATGATTAAATTCAATGATTAATTGTAAAAAATTTTAATTTCTTATAATTTTAAATGGAACATTAAATTTTATTAAATTTTATTGTTGGGCATTGTTGTTCAAGTTTTCAGAAAAGTAAAAGGTGAATGAGTAATAAAAGTATCATTTGTCACGTATCTTATGAAACAATTAATGTTAAGTGTCAATTGAAATACCGACCAATGAATTAATGAACAATTTAATAAAATGACTTTTAATTGTAAATTAAATTTTGGTACAAATTGTTTGATAAAGAAACTAAATATTTAAAATCTGAATGGCAATTTGTACACCAATAATACGACTTTTACGTACGTATTAATCTGAAAAAAAAAAAATTACTCAAAGCTGTAAATACAAAGAGAAAAAAGTGCCTCACCTGATCTCTAGCTGCACCAGTCAAGCTCTGGACCCTCTGTAGTAGACTCTCCCGCGTTTTTGCGGGCGACGAAGGGGCACTGGTGGTCTTGGAGTTGGGCTTAAGATTCAGACTGAGATCGGAGCCGGGCGGGGGGGCACCAGGCACTGGCTGGCTCGGCGGTGCCATCGGCTGCGGCTGGGACTGTAGGGGTCGCTCGGCCAGACCCTGGTAGTTCTGGCTCGAGGTTGAGTCCTGGCGGCCCATGGAGGCCAGCCCCGTGCTCGCGTTCGGCTCATCGTCGAATTCCGAGCTCAGGTCCCCCGACGAGAACCTGGAAGACAAGCTCAGGCTTTTCTTTGCTTTTAGATAGGCCGTTTCTCGCTTAGCCACTTCTGGGAATTGCTTTTTTTTTCGGAACAGTCTTAGGAGTTTCGGTTTCTTTGCCACCAATAAAAGAGCTTTTTTGTCAAATGAAAATTTTACATTTGACGATATATCATGTATTAAATGTAGTTTATTTAAGAATATTAAGAATATAATTCTATTTTATAAGATTATTACTGGGAACTGTTCAAGTAAATATTTTCTGGAATCTGAAAAATTTTGTTTCAGTGTCTGTTTAATAAAAACGCAGTAGAAGTAATAAAATATCTGAGTTGAAATAAATACTAGTTTTTTAAAAATGTACGAGACTGTATTTATTTTAAAGAAAGCTTAAGTCAATAAACATTTACGATGCAAAAGAGATAAATGCCCATCGAAACTCCACCACTGCAAGACTGTTCTGAAAATTCCCATTTTTAGTATACTTATACTTTATCTGCAGGATTTTAGCGAGCGTGTAAGATTCTTGTTTGTTTGGATCTGAGAAATGATGATAATAATGATTATAAAATTGCAATGATTCTTGACGTACACCAGGGATCAACACATTTTGATTATTGCAACCTTGAAGACGATCTTCAAGACATTATAGCTACACAATAAAGTAATTTGATCGATTGAAGATATTTACCATTCAGTAAGATTCATGATTTTTTTTTAAATATCAATTGAATCAGAGGAAAAGTTACCCCATGGGTAAAAAACTCTAGAATTTAATTACAATTACTATTCCTCTCTTAAAACATTGATTATCACGTGATTAAATTACTTCATCCAAGATTTGATTGGCATACACCGAGCACGTGGTTTTGCTTATAGCGGAAAATTTCAACGAATTAAAACATTGTCAGATATAAAAAAGCATTAAAAAGTATGCTTGATTATTTTAAAAATTTGTAGATGATAAAAGAAGTCGGTTTAGATAGGTCAGTTCAAATTATTAACGACGAGATAACTGTGGGTAATAATCATATTTAAAATGAATTTAGTTTAAATGGTGTACACACTAAACCGACTATATGCTTGTACTGTAGAGAATAAGAAAACTTTTTAAATAAAATTTTTTTATTTTCAAATTAGTTTAATATTTACAAATTCAATACCAGAATACCATTCGAATAGCTTATCACAAAACAATTTGTCCAAAAATATCGCAGGATTCTAATTTAGTTTGCTATTCACGTAAAAAAACTTTGGCATTCATTACTTCTAGGTATCATGTATTTGGAGAAAGTTTGTTCATTTCTACCGTAATAAAAAATGTACTTCTATTTCATCATATGTTTTCTGTCTCTCTCTCTTTTATTAGAGCATCGACAAAAAAGTACATCAAGGATCATTGTGGTCATTCCCTCGATTTTAGTTGACACAACATCCATACACAGGCAGGTCCATAATAATAGCAGAGTCGATGGCAGTGAACGCACATTGATGATGAGAGTTTATTCTTGACAGGAGTATAGACACGAACAGAGCCATAATGTTATAGATATACACCACATGTAGTGCACATTACGTACAGAGATGCTGCAAGGGGAGATACTTGGTAGATGCATTCAAGGGTTCGAAGGATGCGGTGATGTTCGCATGCGTGGTTTGTACTTAAGCAAGGATAATGTTTGCGTTGTGTACGTGTGTGAAAAATGGAAAAAAGTGCTTTTTCTCGCACGTGTTAAAATTAATCTTCTTTTTTTTCATTTTGATCTTCAATTGTTCTGAGGATAGAGCTCGTCTCGGTCGATTACGGATTTTCTTGTCGATTGTAGCAAAGTAAGATAGTTTGTTGTTAGTAAACAGCAGTTATTAATTACATGTTTAATGTAGATCTACTACTACTACGTTTGTAAGTTTTCTAGTTTGGTATAGCCAGATTTTTTTTAAAGTGTACAGTTTAATTTTAATATAATTATTTATTTTATGAATATTTATAATTTGGTCAATAAATGTTGAATGTAATATCTACGATAGTTTATTTACTACTAACTAGCAATAATCTAGAAGGAAAATTAATTATTATGAACTCGCCAGCAGGAGCCTACGTTTAAAAAAAGTAATAGCTTACAAGTTCAATGCAAAGTTGTATGTCATTTAAAAATGTCACATGTGAAAACTTACATCGACTCAAGTGTGTTCGTCTTTTAATTTGCAAAGATCCTTGCAAACAGAGGAATCAAAATACAATTCTCTTATAATGATAATTTGAGCTGTCCTCCCCCTATCAAATGACAAAGGAACGTGACGAAGGAGCACCTATTGTCAGAAATACATTTATTTTTATTGTCATAAATCCTTCTTTGAACTCACTTTCATTTTTTATTTTTTAATGGTAAATGAACAAAAAACAGTCCAAAAATCAAATTCAAGACCTTTTTTAATTTTTTTAGGATTCTTGATTCTTTGTATTTGTTGTCTTTTTTTATATCTTTATACTTTTAAGGCACTTTGAAAGGTTATGACCCCTTGCAAAGGGATTTTGGAAGGGAAATATCAACCATTCCATTTTTCAAAAATTAAAATTTTTAGTCGGCTGGATTTATATCTCTGAAGTATTACGCTCAGCATTGTTTTGTGAGCCACTTTTAGGACACAAACCCCAAGAGTTGTCTGTCAGCATGCACTTTTTACAAGATATTGCATATTTCACAGAAATATAGTGTAAGAAGATTTTGTTTCTTGTGTTATGCTAAGTTTATAATAATTATACGTGTTATTTAAGTTGACTTAAAGGCTTGTTAACTAATTTACAACCCTTAGTACAAAGTTTTTATATCAAAATTTAACTTCGGAGGGTTTTACGATATATCATGGAAGTATTGTCTCCAAGGCAATTAATATGTTTTCTTTATCACCGTTTTATCGTCGATGACACTAGAGGAAATTCAGAAATAAATTTTTTTTTAAGAGTATAAAAAACGCTTTTAACGATGTAACTTTCATACGGTAATAAAAAATTTATTACTAGATGTTGAAATGTTATTTTAAGGGAGTTAGCCGTTTGGTGTGAAAACTCCAAATTGAACACAGTTTAGTTCACTCCACATAACAACTTCATTAAACTAAAATGATTTGTTTCCAAGTATTCGTTATCAATGACTAACTTACGATAGATAAAAAGTTTGAAGCAAAGTAAAACGAATATATCCATGTAGAACTTTTCTGAATTTTCACCTTTTGAAAAATAGACAAGAAGTATAAATCGTAGTGGAGACGAAATGATTTTGTTTTCATGAAGTTGTTAACTGAAAACTTGAATTTAAAAAAAAACGCACCTGAGCGTATGATTTACAAAAAAAAGAAAAAACATTTTTTTCATATTTCATTAATTTTTTTCCAGTTTGATGAACCCTTTTCAGGACATTTTATTTTATACTGGTGTGACCTTAATCTCACGAAGCTTAATGTATTAAGGAGCTACAAGTGATCTTATACGAAGTAAAATGCTGTTATGACAGCACAGACATATTGTATCTGAATTTGCTCAAAGTTAAATTTTTTATATCACGTAGAGTATCTTTTCTTTTCACTCCTAAGCTTGTATCATCGTTGACTGTAGAAAGAAAATAGATAATGAAAAAATTGTTGTGCCATTTTTAAACTCTGCTCGTAAGATCACCGGAAAAGAAGATAATTGTGCTACGTTTCACTAAGTCATCGCAAGAAAACGATGGTAAACTAAATATTGTTTAACGCATATAACACACATAACAAATTTTTTTGCTATTCTACTACGATTCCTTTTGTACAAAAAGTTAAAATTACATTTTTTGAAAGCACGTGACACCCAGTATGAACATAAACTTTGTGCATTGGGTCAGCACAATATAAAATTCACCACCTAACAACGAAAAAACATTTAGGTATGTCCTATTTTGGTGACTAACTCCACAATATATGTGTGCTGGTAGTATATATAGGTATACAATTAAAGTATTCTCCGTATCTGAAGACACCAATACTTGAAACTGCCAACTCACAAACTGCCTATAGATATATATTTCATCATCATGAACAGATAATCGGAAAAAATGTTAAGTTATTTTATACTATAATATCGTTAGAAGAGTACAAAAGATATTTTAAATTTTAGATACATTGAGTGTAGTAATCTCTTTGTATTTCAACTATTTAACCAAACAATCGTAAGAAAGATTATGTATTTATACCGTGTTTACCACAAAAGTAAGCAGTTGAATATCTTGCGAATGTCATGCTTAGACGTTTTAACAAAATTATGTAAGCAAAAAAAGCGATGTCATTCAAAGAGCAGTTAAATATCTAGTCAAAATCTATTTTGAAATAGCATTAGCTTTTTTATGTTAATTAATCAATTGACGAATTTAATTACAAAAGTTGATTAAAAAATTTACTGAACAAAGTTTTACAGGGACAATGGTTCATTTCGTGCATTATAAAAACTATATTTTTTAATACTTAGTGTGTCTCAATCAAAGTTCCAAAATTTGAAGTATGCTTATCGAATAAACATTACTAATGATTATTTTAATAACTTATTAAAACAAGAAGCTAAAGCAATATATTGAAAGACGTTGCCAAGTGATTTATTAAAGTAATGTATTTTCTGAAGGTAATCTTAATTTTTATTTTATCAAACATATATATTTCACTCTTGGTCACAATTATAATATGTACCTCTATTAAACTTACACGATTGTTCATAACGTATTAATTTTTGTCCGTAGTAAGTGCAATAGAATTCTTTCAATTTTTGAGAAATGCTGTTTACAGCTAATGAGATATTTTTGGACATCACAACAGTAGTTTCTTCTGTTATCTAAATTACGATATCGAAACGCTAAGCTTTGGCATTTCAACTTTTTTGAAATCTCTGCGCGTGTACAGTTTTATGTCTATATTATTACAAAGAATATTCTTTATAATAAAATTTTCTGTAATATTACAAAGAATATGAAGCTCCACATCTTCAATTAACTTTGAACTGCTGTTGTTACTATTAGTACAGTTTTCTGTACTCTAAGTAACAACACGAATTTTATGGACTTACAGGACTAATTTAGCTATTACGGTAATAATATATTGTAATTTTAACTTAAAAAATGAACCGTATATTAACAATAAAAAGTTAACCGCCATATGGTGTACGTTTCTTAATATCTTTGAGTTTTTTTAAATTCTTTGGAGGATTGTTACCGTGTGTGAGTTTTCACGATTGTAATAGAATCTTTATCAATATATTTCTTAAAGTATTGAGATATCATTACAGCCTTAACATATAATGAAGAGTCTGATGAAAGCACTTGTAATCATAAATTTTTTTGCACTAAATCGCTTTATTTCAGCTCTAGAACATACACGCATCATTTAGAATTAAAAGAAATTTACAACTCATATAAAATATATGGTTAGGAAAACTTCATCAGTTTACCTGTTATACCACACAGTATAAAAAAAAAGCAAGGATTAAAATAAATAACTGATTGAATAAAAGCTTAAACCAATTTTACAAGTCTTTAGTCTAATTTTTAAAGTTACGTATGAAAACGTAACGAAAGAAATGTTGGGTACAAAAATGTAACAAAACTATCGACGAGGCCTCGTGTCGGTATGACGCCATTTTGTAGAAGTGTCTTTATAATTTTCTTGACTTATTTGTTGGATTTGATATTCTTGGTTGCTACTGTTATACATATATTCAAGATGATAAAACAATAGTAACGACAGTGGTAATAATAATTATTACTATTATTTTGTTAATATTATTAATATAAACAGAATTTTTGATTTTATAAAACATTGGAGTACATAATAATTGTTACAATCATATCAAAAAGGGTGGAAAATATGAGGGAAATGTGTATATTCTGAAAAGTTAGTTAAAAATTTGTTGGTTACATATTTTGTCCAGAATGCGCGTTCTAACACATTGAAGATAATAGCGTGTAGAAGTATAAGCTTCCCCTTCCTCTCAACTAATCGGCACTACTAGCAACTAGCTTACGTGGGGCACGCTTTCGGTGTACATTATAAAAGGTACGGCCAAATCGTGGCAGTGTTCAGTTCTTTGTCTCCAGTCGAACGGTAAATAAGTACTTCGTACCTTGTGAATCCATCGACACCAAAATGGCTTTTGGTTTTTACTGCACTCTCGTTGGGATCGCTTTGTGCTTTAATGGAGGTAATACACTTATACCATTTATTCATTTATTTATTGAAAAAAGTAACTTTCGTACTTTGGTTGTGCTACGAATCTTCGTTTCTAGTTCCTGACTTTAACATGATCTAATATCTTTACAGCGCTTGGAATTAAGTGTTACGAATGTGATTCGAAAACAAATAAAGACTGCCTAAACGTTACGGCACTCACTTCTACAGAATGCCAAATAGGTGGCGAATCACTAAAAATCGTGCAACATTTTAATTCATCTTATCGAGATGCTGGAACAAAAGAATGGGCATGCATGAAAGGGACAACGGGTAAGTTTCATTTTTTTTTGTACCAATGTATCGTTACTAACAGTTAAATTAAATTAAATTAAATACACGTGTGTTTGCCGTTTTTAGAAGATAAAAATGTGCATCATGTACAGCGAGCATGCATAAAAAAGTCTCAATGTATGAATTTGAAAAACGCCGAATGCTGTTACGAGGATGTTTGTAACTCATCGTTCAAAACCAACGTTGGATTATTCACCCTTGCCGCTTCTTTGATGTTCATCACTCTGTTTTATAAATAAAACATCGTGCCAATGATTGTCGTACAAGCGTTTGTAAAGACGCATCTTACAATAATGTTGAGTTATTTAATCATCACGTATGAAATTTTGTAGTGAGTCGAAGCCGAATAAACTTTTTATCCGCGAAATTGTCCCATACGTAACTTTTCTGTATTTTGATGTTCAATGTGTGTTCTTTTGTATTTCACTACGGTTGATATGTAATAACTTATAGTTCCGACCATTTTTTACTTTTTGTATTAAAATTTTTAATTTCCTTATACATTTAAATGCAGAGTTTAAAAAATTAATGTTGGTTAAAACGACATGGGTCTTAATTGTACGTTTTAACGTGTACGACAATGCGTGAACATGACTACATAACTATAATTAATATTAGTTCTCATGCCTTCAATCGGGGAGTCTTTACTTGTTCCACCTTCTGAATCGACATGGATACTAAATTTTGTACCTGCGGATTTTATAATTACATCATTTCTTTTACTTAAATATATGATGTTTAAATTACCAGTTTCAAATATGTAATAAAAGTATTAACAAAATTAAATAAAAATTTTTGAAGAATTTTGCTAAAAATCATTGTTTTTCTGTACAATACCACCTTGCTCGACTTAATTGCTAATTAATTGTTAATACTGTTATCTAACAAGGTTTTAGAACTATGATAATAAACCTTCATGCATGAATTGATGTAATCGCACTTCGTGTGAGCAAAAATGATGTTAGTATCAAATAGGTTAGGGAGTAAGTATAGAAGAATAAAAAACTCTATTAAATGAGACTTGATAACAAAGAAAAAAGTCGTATATCCAATGTATGCTTTTAAAGACACCTACATTGCTTCTAACTGCAGATGAAACTTGCATGCTTTATCTAAAAAAAATAATCGAAAATTAATTGATTTCTGGAAATCAATTAGGATAACAATTTTGTCACAACACGATAAAATAGACTATCAGTAGATCGTAGTAGAAATTTTTCATGAAGAATACCTTGTTTGCTCAAACTCACATATAATGTGATTAGTCCATCAGTCCATCAAAAATATTTTTTTAAATTGTTTGAAGGTCTTTTAATAAGGAAATTTTTTAAGGTCTTAGAGAAAATGTACATGAATAAAAAGTCGTTACTAAGCTACTTTTTTTTGTTATCTAAAATACAACATCTACCCGCGATACCTAAGGTTTCCAAAACTTTAATAATTTAGTATGTGAGATATTATGAGTGTATTTTGATCACTATCGGTACGCAACAATCAAAGCGTGAAATGGTAACTTCCTACCACATAGTATAATAAATGTTTCTTTTTTCTGCTTAAAACAACGCTTTTTTCTTGGTGGTTAAACTTCATATAATTCACTTTGCAACATCGTTATCCCAACACATATCTTATACGCCAAAAACATAAGCCATTTTGTTGTTTGTCAATTACATATCAATAATGCATGGGATGTTTTAATGCGTTATAAATTGTTTATTAAAGCCACATTTTATTGAAAAAACAACTTTTAACCACTTATTTTTTCAAAACGGTTTTATGTTACTATAAAAGTAATACTTTGTTAAGCCCACATAATCGTACATCTTCGGGCATACATTACATGATGTCTATTTTTACGTTTTTTTCCATACCAATTGATGGAATTCTCAAAATTTAAAGAAAAATAAGTCAATAGATAATAAGACATTTCGGCCATTGCAAAGATAATTTTTCCTGGCACCTAAAATATAACCTTCAAGTCCAATGATTAAACTATCACAAATTCTAATTTTTTCAGTGCATACGAAATTTCATATCTGTATTTCAACCAAAATATGAAACTTTAAAAATCTTAATTAACATTGGATTATTATTATTCTTACATTTTTATAGTTTATTTGATTATTAACAAAATAATAATTTAAATATTAAAAAAAATTATAGCATAAGAGTGTTTAAAAAAATTGTTTAATATTGATTTTTAAAAAGTCATTATACTTAACGTTATTGTAGGATGGGTATTTAGTATATTCTAAATAATATAAATTAGTGTTTTATCCATTACTTGATGCGTATTAGTTATATCGTCACACATCCATGCATTTATTTGGCCGTGAGTTTGACAACTGTTTTGCAAGGGTCATATGATATTATTGATGATTTTCATAATTATTCTACTCATTTATTTTCTTGTTCAAAAGTAGGAATTTTCAAGAATTTTTAATTGTTTCTTAATAGTGTGTAAATTCGAAATCTTGCGGCTGTTAGTGCAGTGAGGTAAAAATAAGAAAAAATTAATGTGTTACTAAAAAATACGAAAATATTGAACTAAAAATATAAGTATATCAATAAAGTTATGTTTGCTACGACAAGAAATGACAGTATGTTTGGTCATAGGAAATTTGCAACTTGAAAAAATTTTTTAAGTTTCTTGTAAAAAATTTCTGAAAAGGAATCTTGTTTAAGTTATTTAGAATATTAAAAGACAGACGAAAAATCTCATGAAAATAAACACATAGAACATTAACAAAAAGCTAACATTTTAATAGATAAGTAGAAAATCTTATTAAGTTTACACTGAAAATATTTCAAATAATAAGTAAAATACGTAAATTTTTATGAAAACATTAACTTTTTTAATAAAAATTTAGTGCTTCAATATATTATAAAAGTAAAAAAATGTATTTATAAACTTATAGTGTTCATTAAAAACTGTTTCAAAAATATTTAAACGAAATGAAAAAATAGTTAGTTAACATTATAACCCTTAAATGGCCTTATTTTTGCATTCATGGAATAACTGTTTTAAAGTTCTAGCATTGACATACAATTTTTTTTGTTACCAGAATAAATTTACAGTCGGTAATAAAAAAAAGATTAGTATTTTAGCCATCGTATATCACTTTTTGAAACATTTTTGAAGTGTACATTTTGATTTTGAACACTGAAAAAATAATTTTTGCCATGAGAAGATTTTTTATTAAAGTATAAGATCTTATGAACTTGCGGTACATCAGTGTTAACGGTTATGGAAAAACTAATAACATCATTCGAAACGTCTTAAAACAGCAAGTTGAAAACAAATTTTTTTTGTTTATTCTACATTTTTCAAATGTTTGTTATTTCTAAACATGAAAAAAAATCTTCTCCCAACCCATATCCTCGAATAAAGATAAATAAAGGTTGAGAAAAAACACATAGAAATACACTTAACGCCAAGTGAACTGTAGGTTATCACCGCTGTTAGCCATTGTTTGAGCTCACCTTCGTTTCAGGTAGTTAACATTGCTGGTGAGCGACTGACGGAAGCTGGTGAAAGAAATGTTGGCGGGTGACGGGGCAGTGCCGCAATATTTGCCGCAAGCGCCGCCGCGACCGGTAATCTTGCTGGCTGTGAGTTGCCTTGATCGCTGCTGCTCCTCTTCAAGATCCCTTGCTTTCGTTTGTCTTTTATAAGGCTACTGTAGCACGATTGCTCGATGTGTAGATTATTATTGTTATGTGGAAGATTGGTTAGCTCGACGAGATTTGCCGCGTTGAATGTATCTGAAACAGATGATTGAAGAATGGTTATGTTGTTTTATTTATTTATACCGTCTTTTTATTCATAAAATTTATTGAATTACTTATTATATTTTCTCATCAATTCTATTAATAATACTTTTTTTTTAATATTAGAGGTGTAGTAATGAAAAGTGTGTAACAGTTGTACAACTAAAAACGAAATGAACGATTTTTACTGTCAATCTAAGTTGGGGGAGGCTCTATGCATACCTTTTATTTACCTGCAAGATCTTTGTTTCAAGGTGTTCTATGTAGCAGTGGAATTATATTGCGTAATTTTGATCTACACTGATAATTAAATTTGAGTATATATTTAAGTAATTTAAAATAAAATGTATATTAAGACTCTTCCAAATCTTAACAACTTTCGTCCAAAGAAGATTAAGAAAGATTTATTAATTTATTCTACTAAACAAATTATGATTAGTTATTAAGTTGACATAAATATGGAATAAATTAAAATACGATATTTCTAAGTTTAAAGTTCGACATATTCAAAGTCGTTAACTCCTACACTGACTTTGGAGACAAGTATTTAGTAACACAAACTAAAATGAAATTGTTTTAACTAAATTCTCATTTTAAGTGATTATTGACTCTGTAATTTTCTTTTTGATTCAAACTAATAATTGTAGTAACGAGTACAGTATTCTTAAACTCAATTGTCAACTAAATGTTGTAACTAACACGAAGCAATACCCGCAACAATGTCAATAATTTTCGTCTAATAACTGAAACTATGATATTTTAGTATCAGCTACCATTTCTTTATAAACTATTAACAAGACTATTGCAAAAAACATCTGAATTACAACAAAAGCCGCAGTAAGTTCTAGAAAATAGTAAAAATACAGAACTACCCTTGCCACAATTTAGGCTTTATCACCAAAAGTATTTAAAAAAGCTTTCATACGAATGAAAGGCTGGAGAAGACTAATTACAGGGTATTCGAGTGTCATTAAATGGATGTTCGTCCGCTCGCTGTGCAAGAAAAAGCTGTGTATCCTAGGGCTGTTTTTCTTAGTTAGAGGAGATGAGATGTAGGATGTGGGAGAGTCAGGCTTGCTGGAAGCCGTCCAATGAGATTCTCCCTGCTTGGCTGCTCCTGATTCGATCAATCCGCTCTCTTCACCCCTACCCTTCTCTCACTCTTCTCTCGAGCAATACTTGCGTGTACACGTACAGCGTCATCGACACCTCCTTATACATATATAAATATTATGTGGTCACTCGTTCAGTTACGAATAATCAATTGTGTCTGTATGTGAGGGACATACAACACCTTATGATATACATTTATATACATGTATTAAAAGTTTCCAAAAAATTAGTACTAGGGTGTTTTACTTGATAGCTAGTTATTTGTCTGACCCTCAATTTCTTTAATTAATTTATATGATTAAAGTCAAAGGTCTACAGCATACTTTTTACTGTATAACAAACAAAAAAAAACTTGTCTCAAGTACGAGAAAATCCTCTTGTAAGTAAAGCCCTTGGGGTTGAACAGTTTACTTAGTGTATTTAGTTCCAAAAATACTTCGAATGTGTTAAAAAAATCAAAAAATAGAAATACATGAATCTGAAATATTTTTATCAATCCTTTTAAAATCGATCGAAGATTTTGATATTGTCAAAAGTGAGGTATATTAGAAGTCTTTATTTATATTACTTCAAGTTTTCAAATCCATTCAATAACTTTCCAGAGTCCAATAAATTAAATGTCATTAAAAAAAATTTTTAAGATCTCTAAATTCTTTCAGTTTAGTAAAACATTTGAAACTCTTTGAAGTTATTTTAGAATTTCTACCCCGATTTTAAAGCTGTTGGACCCTTATACCAATTTCCATCGGAATTCCTTTACCAGCAGCCACAAATTCTTCTTCTTAGCCTGAATTCCAGATTAACTTGAACAAATACTTTTAATTTTTAGAGACAAATAATATTAAACTTAAAAATTGTGCACTAATACTACAGTTGACAAGGTTTTTCTTGAAAAACAAGAAGAATACTCTAATACAGCATTTATTCTATATACATCACTTTCTTACTCAAAGTGTTGTTAGTAAAAACCACCAGCAAACACAACCTGACATCAAATTAATACAAATATTGTATTCACACTAAATGCTCATAAAATCATAGGCTTCTACAAGAACATAGGCTTCTACACAACCTACGACTAATTTTTAAAACAAGCTTATGGTTCTTCGCATTGAAATCGTTACCATCTAAAAAAAGTAAGAAAGAAATATTCAGTGGGAAAAAAGGTGTATGTCAAGCGACTTTGCGCCCAATTTTCGTCAGGATGTATAAATTTCCTATCGAGGAAAGACGTCTTTCTCTTGGAGGAGGATGTGTTTCTTCTCCATAACTTCTAATTCTGTTATTGGAATGTCAGTGAAAAAATCAGCTTATCTCATTTTTAGGTTTCTGCATCTTAAGCAAAATATGATGTTGAATTTTCTGTTACAAATACTGCAAATATAAGGCTATACATACATATTTGATCCATGTTGACAAGTAAGCGAATATTACTTAATCTTAGTAATGTATTCAATAAATAGTTGCATTAAGAATATATTAGATACTTATTGCACACAGTATTAGAACGTATACAAAAAATTACTCACAATTTTTATTAATAAATTTATTAAAATTTAAATAGGTATGAATATATAATGTTTATTGGATAAAAAAGTTGATTCAAGAATACGTCTGGTGTACTTCGTTGTGGATGAAAATTTTATAGTAAGATTTTTTTAAATCACCGTACTTTATATTTTCCAAACTATTTATTAATACAAGAACCTTGTAAAGTCCGAGACACTGCCTTCCGAATTTAGAAAAATATTTTTTTTTTTTGGCATCACAACATTATTGTAAGTTTTACTTAAATTTTGTAACAAACTAACTATATAGTATTTTTATTTATGAGTTGTATAGATGACCGTGTTGTCTACAAAGGCATTCACATTAGGATTCGCACGGAAAAAATTGAAAAAAGGTTCTAATTATTTATACCAATGGATCACTGTTTTTTTTATCACATATTGAATCTTTATATTAGGAAGCACAACTAAAGTATTATATTTATGAAATTTTTTTTTTCGACTGTTCAAGCTTCACAGTTAAGATAACAAAAATATTTGTATTATGAAGATTTTAAATTTTTTAGATCAAACTAGGGAAAAAAGAAAACAAAAAAAAAAGAAAGAAAGCTGCAAGGTGGGCAAAAAACTTTTATATCCTCTACCTCTCCAGACCTGCTTTTTTCTGTTTCGTTCTTTTTCAAAGCACCGGACGTCGGATTGTAGACCAAAGAACGAAATAAAAAATTCACCACAAGTACGAATGGGATTTTTACTCTCGTGGCCAGAGTGTATGATGTATACGTAGGTGGTTGTGTATAAGGCGACGACATTGCAGAGCTATTTCCAGCATCTTTGGGGTGGAATATGTTTACGGTAGCTTTCGTGTTTTAATGGCTTGATGGTTACTAGGGTTGTAGGAGTATTTTTCACATTTTAATGTATCATCCTACTTTATTAGATTTTTTTAAAACATTTTTTCAGTATCTTGCAGGAAACATTAATTTATTTATTATAAAGTTTATTCAGGGTATACATTTTAAAAGACGTAGAATGATACATATTTGCCAATATAGTTGCTAGCGAGCAACATTTAAGTTTTTGTTATAAAATTTAGTTACCATATAAATATTAAGGCATTTATAAAATTTATTTTATATTCGTGTTTTCTACACATTATTAAGAAAAATTTTGAGAATTTTTTCTTGATACAAATTCAATCTCATTTTTTCAAACGTCCTTTGAAATTATCATTGGGTTGATTTATTCTAATGGACTTTATAACCCCATTTATTGTTTGTGGAGCGTACTCGGAAGAATATGATTTCCGCCATAAAGGGTGCATTTCAGAATGTAACACTATTTTATCGTATTACAATGTAGTCAATGAGACTCAACTGCATTTGATTTCATTGCAAAACTTAAAACAAGAAATCAAAATAGAAAATCACTAATTGTTGTTGCAGAAAAAAGAGCAGATGATATTTGTAATCAATAAAACATTGAAAACATTTTTATTGATTTTAAGAGTTGATGTGTAAAATTAGAACGATTTTTAGTGATTATCTTATCAGTTTTATTCTTGTGCTTTTATTGAATCAAGTGTATCTATGTAACTTATTTGACCTACAAGATTCATATACCAAGACTGTCATCGAATGGGGTGCTAAGATAATTTGAATACGTCAAGACGTCTTCTATTCATTTTAATCTTGGGACCATAAATGCCACCAATATTAAGTATTTTCAGTTCAGTAGACAAAATTGAAAACGTGACCACAATTTATAACGTAACGCTGGTCCCTCTCGCTAATGAAAAAAATCTACTGCTTGCGAATGAATTACCAGTAGTTAATAGATTTTTGCTTGAAAGTAAGTATAATTTATTCTGCTCAGTGTGATATCATAGTCAAATTCTATAAAATATGGTATGCGTCGAACAATATCTCTTCAATAGTGTGATACTACCTTGTTTATGTTACTGATAACAAGCATGAAACACTTTTATTCCTAACTCTCCGATATACTTTAAAACCATCATAAAAAGTGACGTTTTCATCACACATTCATAGTGTAGTGGAAAAAAGGAAAAAAAAAACTTGTATAGGTACAATGACTGCAAAGCTGTTGGTGCCCAGAGGGGAGACTTGTGAGTAAGTGTAAGTACAAGCCAGTCAGTAACATCTGCACGAGGCGTCTTGCGACTTATCGATCCGTCTGTACACGAGGAGAAGAATTGAATGTTATAAGTCAAGAATCGGAGAGCACCTAACGCTTACTGGGTTGCA